TTATTGGTGCAATTGCAGCAGTTATTACCAAATCTTTATAACATTTAATGCATACTACTCTCATGTCCCTAATAAACATACCCCCCGGAATAAACATACCCCCCGGACAAATCTTCAAAGTCTAATATACATACCCTCCGGAATAAACGTACCCCCCGGAAAATGACCAAATTGACAGGTGAACGGTACTAAAGTGTGCTCTTTATTTCAATACCAATGTATGGGCAAATCTTTCACTGTTACTTTTGATTAGGAATATAAATATACTGTACTAGTACTCAACAAACAGTGTCGACATTACTGTCATATTACACCACTAGCAATAGGGGTGGGTACCAGTTCGGCTCTTCCAGGTCCAGAGGATCAGGTCCAGGTCCGGACCTGTACCTGTACCTGATTCTGAATACCGGAGTTTCAGTACCGAATTCTTTTTGCTAAATGATCATTGCTAAATACAATATAACGTTAAGTATATGTAACCACTACAATTAATTTTCTATTTTTATTTTTATTTTTCTATTTTTATTTATTTTCTATTTATTTTCATTTTATTTTTTATTCTGTTTTATTTTATTTCATTTAATTTTATTCTATTTTATCCGTTCTATCCGAACAAGCATTCGAGATTAAATAAAGGCTTACTACTTACTACTACTACTACTACTCTCCTCTACTGCTAGAGCTACTAAAACTTCAGACCGAATATATTAAACATTTTAATTCGCCCCTCTAGCGGTTTGGGCCAAATTGCAGCTTTCCAAAAAAAATCCAAGATGGCGGCGGCAGATCGGCGCCTCTCGGCGATTGCCGATTTCATTGTATTTTCCTTGGTCTTTTCCGCGATTCAAGCAAAGAAAACAAGTTGACCACAAGAACAAAAGAGTAATACAGCACTGGGAATCTAATGGTCCGTTTTGTTGGGCGGTAATTTCTCATTTCAAGTGAATATTTACGTGCGTCACAGTGATTAATTCACCAATCAAAAGCGACATCTTGCGACTTAAGCAAATATGGAAGGTTAATGTACATAATTTATGTCATTGATTTATTGGTCCAATTACCGCAGCTATTAGCGAAATTCTAGAACCTTAAATGCATACTATGATATAAAACAATGGTTTTGTGGTAAACAGCATTTCCTTTTTTTTAGCAACTTCGTTGTATAAGAATAACGACACTATCATCCGGTAGCTCGACCCCACAAAGTAAAGTATACACGCAGCACACCAGTTTCAGAGGCCAAGATGGCCTCAACTTAGTTTTCCGCATATTTAATAAATTATCGAAATGAGCCACGCTGGTTAACGCGAGATAAGGGCTGTCACGTGTCATTTTTCACGAGATCAAGATGGCGGACTGCATGGCAACCATTGCTTCCCTTGCTGTGGGATGTGGTTACTAAGTAGTTTTCTTGACAGGAACACCATGAATCATGTCAAAATACATGCCTAAGTAGAAACAAGACCCTTCCCTAATACAGACACCAGACACACATGGTCTTTGGGGGGTTTCCCCTTGAGTAACACCCACTCATGTACAGGGGGTGCTGCCGGGAGGTCATTTCACCACATGGTCAAATCAGGGTAATTTACCAGCCATTTTCATTATTAATGCCAGTTTTGCCACTTATAATCTTACACACATCTTAAACCTCAACTATTTCACTACTTATTTTTCATAGTCATCATTTGGTCAGGATCCCAGGTTTTCTGTGAGGGTCATTCTAAGTTCGGCATATTGGACCATGTGGTCCCGGCCTGGAGCCACTTAGATGCTACTTTGATATTTGTTTGCCTAGTATTTCTGTACCCAAAGGAAGCCATTCTTCTTGAACTGATTTTTAACTCAGAGGAACGAAATATCCTTCCGCGAGGAGGTTTTACTATGGTTCGAAACATTTCTGTCAGCAGCTGTTTCTCGCGATCGGCTGGACGGATTTGTCTGTGGTTCGGTATACGTATTGATGTTGGGCTGCAGATGATGCAGAACGTTTTTGTTTAATTGCATATGTGTTTATGGGCGTGGAAATAAAAGGTTTTTAAGTGCTCCGGACATGAGAGATTATGTAAATATTGTACAATGAATGCAGTGGAAAATGAAACACATTTTTG